CTGTTGTGATTGGTGTGGGGGTAGGGACAGGCTTAGGGTGTCGGGGGGTTCCCCAGGAGCATCTACCTTGGAGGGCTCAACCTGGGGTAGCGGTCATGGCCTATTAAGGGCTCTGTTGGCTCTTAGGTGACGGTTTCCTCGTGGCTGCGTGCAGTGGGGCTAGGGGAGGGTCTGTGCTGACGGACGTGGGTTACTGACCTGGTAGCCTGGCTGCCCCGGGGTGGGTCCGGGACGGGCGTGGGGTTGTGGGGGTACTCCGTCTCCGGGCTGGGGCCCTGGTTGGTGTGTTGCCGGGGTTGTGGGCGGGTGGGTGTATGGGGGCCCAGCCCTGGCGCAGGGTGCCGCTCCATGTCCTCCTGGGTTTTAAATGCACCTTAGAACACACATGCATCAACAATACATATGAGCGGGCAGACGGAGGTCTGGAATCTTCTCACACCCCCGTTCTCTGCGGCCTGATGGAGCGGGGGTGCTAGGAGGAGGATTTGGCCGTTCGACTGGCGTCTGGAATGTGGGGCCTCCCTGCTGCTGCGGAGTCGGGGCGGTCTGCTTCTCTCCACCCCAGGGAAAAGGGTAACACCACCTGGGTCTGGGTGCAGTTTCCCCCTCCAGGGGCAAGGGTACCTAGACCTGGGGCTTAGAGTACACTTGGGGAGTGTGATCGTGTGTACAGCGTCTCTTTATGTCTGTCTCCACGTTGGGTGAGTGCCTGACATATGTGCCTGTATGTCTGTGTCCATATGTCAGGTCGGGTATCAGGCGCCACCTCTCTAGGGACATCTCAGGCCCTCCAAGGTATGGAGGCCTATCTCCCCCCACCACTTCCCCAGCCAGTGGCAGACGCCCTCAGACATCGGTGCGTTGGTGGGTCTTTGTGTCCGGGGATGGGCGTCACACCGGCTCACTCCTTGGTGGCTGCTTATTGGGGCCTGGAGCCTGGGGCTCGCTCGGGCCACTTCGGGGGTGGGGTGCCCTCGGCCTCGGTCACTCTGGCGCAGCTGGCTGCCGGCGCTCCCTGGGCACGTCACTGCTTATGCTCCGCGGCTGCTGAGTGACCCCTCATCTGGGACTCTCCTCAGCTCTTTCTGGGATAGTGGCGCGGCTGCCCCTCTCTTGGTCTTCCTTGGTCTCTTGTGTTCTGAGAGCCTCCGGATGTCTGGAGTTTTGATCTCCTCTATACCTGCTTCATGCCCTGGTGGACGGGGCTGTGGCTCCCCACACCCTCTAACAGATATGTAGGAACATGTAGGAACCTTTTAAAAACAAGCGCATTCATGCTCACAGGTGTACAGACGGGTGCTCACACACAAAAAACTATACCCTTATTGGCTACGACCTTAAAGCGCACTGTGCGCTGTTGATCTTACACAATAATGTTTAACATTTAGTATTTACTGTTATATTGCCATAGATCATCATGATGTTGTTTATTCTATTGCTCTAGTTTCCTTCTGCTTGTTTTCTTTTTTCTTTCTCAACAGGTGATCCAGGAAAAGAAAAAGAGAAAAAAAAAAGGTGATGAAGCAGTCTTTTCTCACTATCTCTTTTCTCCTTTTTCTTTCCCTCTCCTTCTGTTAACTTTCTTCTGAACTGTTCTTCTTGTTTTTCTTTCCCGTCATCGGGTCCAGTCTGGCCTGATTACAATAACTAATAAAAATATAAAAATAACTAATAAAGATCAAATAAACTATGACAATCAAGATGACCAGAATAGCAAAAGGCCCACTTGGGAAAGTAAATCTGTTGGGCATTTTTCTTGGCCTTCAGACAATAATTCTGATTGCTACAGTGCCAGACAGGACACACACACAAAAAAAAAGCAGTTTATCGTGGATGTTGATGCGTCCGACACCGAAGTTGGGGCAGTTCTCTCCCAGCGGTCCGGGCCACAAGGTAAGCTCCAGCCATGCGCCTACTCCTCATGCCGACTAACCCCCACGGAGAGAAACTATGACATTGGCGACAGGGAGCTCCTGGCTATAAAACTTGCCTTAGAAGAATGGCGCCACTGGCTGGAGGGGGCGGAACAGCCTTTCCTCATATGGACAGACCATAAAAATTTAACTTACCTCAGAACGGCCAAAAGATTAAACTCATGGCAAGCCCACTGGTCTCCATTCTTCACTCACTTTGACTTCACTCTCTCCTATCGCCCAGGGTCACAGAATGTCAAGCCTGATGCGCTCTTCTGTCAGTGTTCCTTGGACACTGAAGCATCCTCTCCCGCCACTGTCCTGCCCCCTGCCTGCGTTTTAGGCGCTCTCATCTGGGACATTGAGGAGACTATCTGCCAGGCCCTTGCAGGGGACCCCAACCCAGGTACCGGGCCACCTGGGCGGCGCTTCGTCCCCGCTACCGCCCATGGGGCGGTCATTCATTGGATTCAAACTGCACGATTTTCGTGCCACCCTGGCGTGAGTAGAACAATACAACTCCTTAGACGACATTTCTGATGGAAATTTCTAATAAAGGACGTAAAGGAATATGTGTCAGCCTGTGCCGTTTGCGCTCACAACAAGCCATCCACTAAGCACCCCCTAGGTCAGCTCCACTCGCTCTCAACACCTCACCGGCCTTGGTCTCACATCTCCCTTGATTTTGTTACTGGTCTCCCCAGCTCCTCTGGAAAGAGTGTCATTCTCACCGTCGTTGATAGATTCTCTAAAGCTGCTCACTTCATCCCACATCTAGCTCAGTTGTGTGCCGTTGAACCACTATGTGAAACTAAGTTAAATGAATGTGACATACAAAAAATTAACATACAAAGGGCCTGAAACCATGCTGACTTGAATTCAAGTTTTCTTTTAAATGACAAAATTTTGTTTTGGGGACAAATATATCTTTCAGCTTATAAAGAGGACAGGTTTCAGGACATGATTCAGTTGAACTCCAAGGAAAGATCTATCGGAAATTTTGGATTAAGTTGCGAGACTACAATCATCATATTTTGTCATCTAAGGATTCCCATTTGAAACAATAAATTTCATAAACACTCTAGGTGCGTGGAAGTGCTGAAGCAGGCTCTTCCTATTGTCCAGCTGATACTAAAAGTCCTTACCCTGAAAAACTCCTTGGTGGATCCAGAGTCCAGTGTTCCATATGCTATCTCCGTCTGCTTAGCCAAATCTTCAGCACTCTCAATGGGAGACACCATCCTCTCCACCGTGAGGAAGGCAGCCAGGTTAGCAGTGTATGATGAGATAATGATCAGAGTGAAAAACCACCACACCCCACCAACTATACGTCCTGAAAGAGACCTGCCCACATAAACACATGAATCAAATTAAACTGTTCTAGGACTCATGGCAAATTCATTCAATTACATCTTGAGGCACTTGTTGTTATGATTTGACACATTGTAGATTCTTACTGAAGGCATCAAAACTGTAAATGAACACACATGGAATTGTGTAATAAAAAGTGTGAAATAACTCAAACCATGTTTCATATTTAAGATTCTTCGTAACAGCCTTTGCTTTGATTACTGCTTTACACACTGTTGGCATTCTCTTGATGAGTTTCATGAGGTCGTCACTTGAAATGGTTTTCCAAGCATCTTGAAGGAGTTTCCAGAGATGCTGAGCACTTGTTGGCCTGTTTACCTTTACTCAGCGGTCCATTCCATCCGAAACCATCTCCTTTGGGTTTTAGGTCTCGTTCTTGGTTCTAAAAGTTCTAAAAGTAATGATGGACTGATAATTCTCTTAGCTGTCATTTCTACTTAGCTGATTGGTTCTTGCCATAATATGAATTTGAATAGCTGTCAAATAGAGCTGTCAGCTGTGTACCAACCTGACATCTGCTCAACACAACTGATGGTCCCAACTCCATTAAGAAGGCAAGGAATTCCACCACTGAACCCTGACAGGCACACCTGTGAGGTGAAACCATTTCAGGTGGCTACATCATGAAGCTCATTGAGAAAAAGCCAAAAGTTTTCAGCACTGTGAACAAAGCAAAGTGTGGCTACTTTCAGGAATCCAAAATACTGCTACATAATTCCATATATTTTGCTCCATATATTTGATGGAGCAAAATATATGGAGCAGAGAAACAACATTAAATGAGAAGGTGTGTCCAAACTTTTGACTGGTCATTGTGGATAAAGAAAATATTTTCAGCTGACAGACTACAGTGACTTGCCCAACACAGCTAGCTACAGCAGCAATGCCATAGTGGCAACAGCCTCACCCAAACTGGACAGTTTAACAATGACCACATACATCTCTTCATGGCCATAGTTAACATTACAAACATGATGCTATACCAAGTCAGTGTAAAAATATTAGGGTTGAAGTAGAACAGAACAATTGTAGCATGAACAGAGTTTCTAATGCACTTTTATCTCATTCAGTCTATGATAAGAACTGTGCCTGTTTTACAGCCCTTAATTAGTATTAATATTCAGTTCCTGATTAACGAGGCAGTGAATGTATATTAATATAATATACTGATTACAACATCGGGAGCTAATACCGTATATGACTATGAAATGTCAAGGGCATACCAACCTTGGTGAGATGTCACAACCCTGCCGCATGAAAGCACCCAAAGAAAACCAAAGAGAATTAAAGATCCCAAACTCATTGGTGGATTCAGTGGTTAATGGCAAGGCTCCATCTTCTGGCTCCTCAAGCGTCCATTCATAAGGGCTGAACCTGGATACCTACAGCAGCAAAGCATTAGAATGTCAACAGAAATACACAAATTACATAGATTGTTACAACAGGGTTTTCTAAAAGTTTGCAAAAAACAAGGCATTTCATTTTTTCCACTGTTTCAAAGAGCCCAGCCACAAAGTAGGTGCCTAGGAAAGTAGGAGCTTCTGTCTAACTATACTGCCATAAAAAGACACAATTGCTCTTTAAGAAATGACACATTTTTAACTAAACTGCTCCTCTGTAGTGTACCTCCTCGTTGTTAAATCAGATTACATGTAATCAATTGATCATAAATATAAAATCTTTCTGAATCGAAGCAAGTTTCTAGTTTTCTATTAAATTAACCCTAAAGTTGAGGCAAGGAAGGTTGGGCTTCAAACTTGAACTACACTTTTTGAGACATAATACATTAGTCTCAATAAGTGTCAGTAGGTATTATGTCACTTATTTCAAACATAGTATTTATGCCTTCTTTTAACATAACCATATTAGGCACTGATACTTATGAAAACAGGATAGCACCTAAAAGAGGATTTCAACAAAGCATGCAAATTCATAATAGCAGGCTTACTTACCAGAAAGAGAACAACACTAACTCCTATGTAGGCAAAGACAATGCACATCCAGATTTCATAGGCCAGTGGGTCCAGAAAGGAGAAAACACCTGGTTTGGATTTTTGCGGCTTTTTAATCATGATGGAGATTCCCAAAGACATGAAGGGTTTGGAGAAATCTATCACCTCTTCACGGACAAGAGTGATTGTCAGGGGAGCAATAGCTATATCTGCTTTCTGTTGGAAAGTAGAGACACAGTGACAGGGACAATGTGATTGCTTCATGGACTTGGAAGAGCTGCTGCTACTACAGCGCTTTGGCAGTCGTTGTGATCACATAAGTGATTCTAGCCTACAAGCCACATTTAACTATACAATCATATAGTGTTTAATTCTACACATTGTAAGGACGTTCACCTAACTTTACATCCATATCTCTGGACTGAAGGAGAAAGTACCTGTAGAATACTGGAACATGCACAAAGAAGACTTTAGAGGCATGCACCAGGGGCCACATGCCTGAAACAATAGTTTCTATGATTTTTTTTTCCTATGACTTTATGGTGATTTGTGTGATTAACAATTCAAGTACAGGTAAAATTTAAGATTATAATGGACCATAAGTTCCTAGAGCTCCAGATTTTTTCCTAGAGAACCAGCGAGAAGCACACATCATTCCAGGCATAGCAGATGGCCCAGTCAGTGATTGAGGTCAAGGGTCATGCCGTTTGGGCTCCTACTGGTCACCTCGAGAGGATTCCAGAACCACAGCAATAACCACGAAGGGGTTGGCGGAAATCCAGAAGGACCAGACTAAGAAGGCCAGAAGCCCTGACTTGGCTGAGTCAGAGAAACACCCAGACCTCAAAAAGGGGGCAGAATAATCCCCCGGTCTGTGGAAAAAGACCTCATGGTGGTCCACCCATGAGGTTAAAGTAAGAAGAGGAGAAGAGCACAGAGAATTGCCCGTCCCAGAAGATTAGTTGTTTAAATGTAAAGAAGGTCAAAAGCCCTTTAGACAGAGTTTCTAGTTTGAGCACAAAGGTGGAAGCTGAAAAGTAATGGGAGGTCTGAGAGTATTAGCTTTACTAATAGTTTGTGTGATTTTTATGTTATGTTAATTGCCCGAACACAGTGGTCATCCCACATTTGGTCCAGCCGTTAAAGGGGGACAGACTGTCCAGAGAGGGAAAGCGCGACAACTAAGAGAACTGACAGATACTGGGTATAGAAATATCAACCTGGGGTTAGATTGGCTAATTCAAAATATAAAGGAACAAAAGGTGTCAGACTGTGTGGCGTGCGTAGCCACCCGCCCACACCTGTTCACCGAACCTGGCCCTGTCTATTCAAATGACACGCGGGGATTTGGTTGTGTGCTTATAATAACCAGAAGTGCAATTCCACCAATTGATAATAAAACTACTCCGGGACCTTTTACCCGAAGAAACACTAACTATACCTGTTTTGATTTTACAGTGAGCAGCAAGGGAAGTCAGAAGTATGACGTAGGAGAGATCCCAGCGGACTGGTGTACGGTGGTGTATCCAGCCCAAGGGAATGCCTCCAGGGGTAAACATGACATAAATTGGCCCGTGGGCAAGAGCGGGTTTGTACTATTATGCTGGGTAAAAAGGGGGTAAGGGTCTCAGGAAACAGGGCAAGGCAGCTCACAGCCCAGTGTAGATGCAAGGTGCTGTTCTGGACGTACACTTACTTGTTTGACTTATTTGTGGGGTTTTTAACATATATGGATGCAATAGGGGTGCCTAGGGGAGTAGCAGCATCAGAAGTATGGTGACCTTCTTTCGAAGGTCAAAAGGGGGAATTGTTGAAAATATATCATGAAGCAGTATTTCAGCAAAGGCCATATTAACCCAGCCGCTAATAAAATGTGCTAGATCATAGGGTATTACCAGAAGTGCTTTGATTGTAATTGCATACGTGTTTGCACAGCGACAGTCAGAACAGGATGGACTCAGGATGTGTCATTTACTATTATAAGACTCATAACGAGAACAACAGGAAAAAGGTGGGGGTGAAAGGCAGTTAAGATAGATTTCTGAGTAATTGTAGAAGATCACCAAAAAAGGAATCGTGTCTAGCTGTCACTAACTGTAACTGATGCATGTTATGTTATCTGCTTATGCACGAAGGGGCGTGAACCCTGACATATAAAACTGTGTATCAAAGTGCTTCCTCTTTGAGAACTACACGGAAGGTGGTATTGTGTACATCTCCCTTGCATGCAAGCTAAATAAATAATTGTGGATTGACTAGACCTGCTCTGAGTATTGGTTGTTTGTTCTCAACCCAACATCAAAGAATTCGGGACAACTTCATGACCCAATAGCCTATTTTGAATGGAGGGGAGAGTAGGGAACTGTCTGTTGGTCTGGGTTCTTGTTACAAAAGATAGGAATATAGTGTGAACAGGAACAAAACAATAAATCTGGGTGATGAAGCTGGAATCCACCCCATCCTCTCCATTTTATCTATAAAATGGGGGATTGGATGGTATTAATGTCATGATCCTGGGTCCTTTTGACCCAGCGTTTTGTGTTTTCTCTTCGCGATTTTGGTTCTGTTCTTCCTCTGGTTAGTGTTTACTCTGTTCTGCCCGTGTGTGTTCCTGTATCTAGTCTGCGTTTCTTAGTTTGTGTCCTTTCATGTGTAAGTTCCTGTTTTATTGTGAAGGTCTGTGTCTTATGTGAGTGTTTTCAGTTTGCCTCCCTAGTCTCGTCATGTTAATTACTCCCAGCTGTGTTCCCACCTGT